CATTGAGAACTTTTTGTAGTCCATAATAATATAATTTAGTATTATGATTAATTCTTCTTTTGTAGCTTTCAGATGTAAAATTTCATCTATTCTATCATCTGAAACTATCGATGTTATTTTATCTTCCATAGCTCACCGAAATCTTTATTAAAAATATTTATTTTAGTTTGTGACAAATTATTGCTTATTTATTTCAATTTATTTTTTTGATTCTTTCTACCAAACAATTCTTTTAAACAATTATATAAATTATATCCACAATATCATAATATTTCATTGCAATCTAATCGAAGGCACTTCTAGTTATCATCCAACTTATTCACAATCCAAAAACGAATCCACTTAAAAAATTTAATTTTTTTTTACACACTTTTATAACAAGAAATAATAAATATTTTTTATAATAATCCATATAATATTTTATTAGAATGCTGCAGCTGTTCATTAGGCTCGTTTATAAATTTGGTTAAACATATTTATCTAAATTTTGTTCTCTTTAGAATTTAATATACGCCATAAACTTTTAAAATTTTTATTATATAAACAAGCTCTTCTAGTTCAAGTAATTTAAAAATATAGTTAATTTTATAGAAGTTTGAATATCAGTTTAGTTGATAATTTAAACTTTATTTTAATGATTAGAAAAAATAATTATTTCTTAAATAAATAATACTAAAAGCATTAATATATACAAATTTGTAAAGAAATACAGAAATTAGGTATTAGATATTATTTTTTTATTTCAAATTAAGCATTTAGAAACTTTGGGGAAAATCAAAGAATGTAGAACCATATATTTTTGACCCAAAAAACACTACCTATTTTAATAAAAAAAATTAATATCAAATATAATTATTTAAACTTTACTATAAATTATAACCTCGAAATTTGTTGGTGGAAATTTGGAAATCAAGATGAGGTTAAAGAATGCATAGATGATGATTTTTTTTCTCTAGAAATTAGATACAGAATGGCCTGGAGAACAATGTTTCCAACATTTTGTCATCCTAATATTATTAAGTATTGGAATGAAATGAGCATTTAAATCACATTTTTTGAAAATCTTAATCAGAAATCATTAACGATGAAATTTAATGTTTGTATAAGAATGTATTCTAAAAAAGTTTATATCTGGTTTTAATAAATAAAATTATCTATTTTTTAATTCTTTTTATCTTGGAAATAGAATTTTAAATTAGTATTTAATGATGTTATTTATTCAATAAATCTATTTAGATCTTTATTCATAAATTAAAACTTATCTTTTTGCTTAATCTATAACCTTCCAAAATCGTTAATTAAATTTTTCGCTTAAGACATCGAATTATTAATTTATAGGTTAATTAATAGGTATTTGAATATTTTTATGGTCAAAAAATTACTATTATTGGATCAAATAAGGTTACTAATCATTAATTTATAATGATTATTATTTAGAATGATAATAAATTTCAGATTATATATTTGGGATTTGTTATGTAGATTTTCTGCCTGAAAAAAAATCTAATTATTAAGATTTCCTTTGATCTTACTCAAAATCTTAATTTACTTCAGGTATACTGGCTATTTTAGAGACCTAATCAAATTAATTTGGATCAGTTTTCACAGGGGATTTAACATGAAGTGTTTCAATAATTTATGATTATTTTAATGATTTTGGTTATTGAACAAGTAAGGTAGTGGTCTTTTTAATTTATGATTCTCCATAAATTGTTTTTGATATTTTCTTGCTCATTTGATAATTTTGAAAATATTATAAGGACTTAGTATCTCCAATCATATCCTTAACAAAATTTGAATACTCTATCGAATAATACATATCCATGACTTTAATGCTATCTTCAAATGATAGACAACTTGCTTCAAGTAAGATCAATCCTATTTCCTTACTAATCTTGTGACTATATTAAGATTCTTCAATATATAAATTCTTAAAGCTATTTGCATTTATTAAAAATAAAGTATGTAAACACAACTTAATGTGTCCTTATTTAGTTATAAAAATATTATGTAGAGTTAATTATGTTTATTTTACCAATTCTGGAATTTAAAGGTATATAGAATAACCAGCGATCAAGCTTTTTGCTAGATACCATAATTCTGTTTCAGCAAATTGAGTTCCTTATTATCTTTTTACTTAGATCTCATCATATAATGAATGTGATGGGTATTCAAATATATTATTTGAAATGTAAATTAAAAAAGGAGAATTTAATTCATGTTTATAAAGATTCTGTAGTTTGATGTATCTCTTAATGAAAGTGATATAGTCTTGATTTTTTAATTTTGGTTAGACTCTCATATATTAGTCAACGTCTGGAAAATCTTAAATTTAACATTCTAGAATGTCTATTTGACCAAAAAGTGTATGTTAAACTTTTTGAATCAATTGAAAATCATAATTATCACCAATATCATTTAATGCATTTCCCATATAAAATTTATTTTGTTTTTATATAAACTTATTTTTTTCAGAAAAATAAAAGTGAATATTCTTTTTATTTTTTAATTCTTAAAATAGAATTTAACATATTCATGAGAATTGATTATGAAAAAAATACTCTAATTATTTATTTAGTTCATAATATTTTAATTAGATCATTTCATCTTCTTAATCAAAGATTATTTAAAATCTAAATTTTAGTTCTAAATTAAGAAATCAATTATATGATAAAATATAATTAGTAAAAGATTGATTTATTATAAGTGTGTATGAACGAATCATGATTTTCATTTATTTAACAAAGAATTTTATATTTAGTTAAATATTTTAGAATAATAATATAATTATTAAATATTTTTATAATTTTTAAGATAAAATAAAATTAATAATTTTATGACTATTTTTTGGGCTAGAAGAGAGGAGATGAAAAGATTATATTAAAATTTAAAGGATTAAGAAGATGATAATTTAAAAAATAGAATACAAAAAAAAAATTAATTAATAAAATAATACAAATATATTTGAGATATTGTTATAAAATGATTCTAATTTTCATGTATAAATGCAATTAAATTGATATCAAAGCATAAATAATATAATTAATGGGTTAATTTTTATCATAGCCAATCACTTAAAAAATGCATAATAAGTAGTCAAATGGAATATTATAATGCCATACTACGTCAATGCAAGGTTAGTGTGTAATATTACAATATAGGTTGGAGACTTTAAATGGAAGATGCTCACATAATGAAAGTAGATTTTAAAGAAGATATATCATTATTTGCTATATTTGATGGACATGGTGGAGCTGGAATTTCAAATTACTTGGCAAATAGTTTTCTAGAAACTTTGGTTCAGCAACCTTCATTTATAGGTGAAGATTACAATTAAGCTTTGCATGATTGTTTTATACAATTGGATGAGATGATAAAAAACAATGTGGCTAAAAGTAATCCTATAATTCCTATATTCTTTTTTAGATACTTTTATAGGTTCAACAGCAGTAGTAGCTTTGATAGTTAAGAAGACCTTATATGTAGCAAATTTAGGAGATTCTCGTTGTCTTCTAATGCGTGATGATGAAACAATAGAATTAACAAAAGATCATCTTCCATGTAATGAATTGGCTAGAATCAGATTTGCAGGAGGATTTGTTAATGAAGAAGGTCGTCTTAATGGAACATTATCAGTTTCAAGAGCTTTTGGTGATTTTGAATTCAAATAAGAACCATTACCTGCTAATTAGCAAATGGTTATTGCTGAACCTGAAATAAGAAAGATAAAATTAAATAAGGATGATAGGTAAAATTATGTATTAAATTTGTAGATTCATATTCTTAGGTTGTGATGGATTATTTGAAACAATGAATAGTTATAAAGTTATGTAATTCATTGGAGAAAGAATTGATATGAATATGGAACCACCCTTAATACTTGAAAATTTACTTGATTCTTCCTTGGCTATTGATACTACTACTGGTTATGGATGTGACAACATGACTGCTATGCTTATATTGTTACACATCTGAATGATATTCAATTTAAAAATAATACAAACTATCAATAAAATAACTCATATGGAATTAAAAATTTAAATGGAATGTTTTGATAAATTACTATAATAATTGATAATCTAAATTTATTCACTTCAATCTCCTGCATGCTTCTTAAATTGTTTCATCTGTTTTACAAAATGCCCATCTAACTAACTTTTCTCCAATTCTTTTATCACTATAATACGGTGACATAGGTATACAAACCACACCAAATTCATTTGCCAAATAATAAACAAATGCAAAATCTCTACTAAGTGTTTCTTTTGTGTCTGGATGAATGAAATATTATTCAGGAATTTCAACATTTGAAATATCTGTTAATAGAAAATATCCACCAGATGGAACCATATAATTTAAATTTAATCTACTCTCAACTAATCCCTTTAATAAAGTTTATGCTTGTTTTTCATAAAAAATTCTCTTCTCTTTAAAATATTACCCATCCATACATAATTCTAAAGATTTAGCTGTTGCTGCTTACATAATTGGATTCAAACAAAATAAATGATATGTTTAAGCTGCCTTAACTCCTTTTATAATACTTTCTGGTCCTATTGCAAATCCAACTCTTAATCCTGTTGCTGAAAACATTTTACCTGCACTTATTACACATATGGTTTTCTTAGATAATCTTTTATGTGATATGCTTCTTGGATAATTAAATATCTCATAATCTCCAAATGGCAAATGATGATATGCAGCATCTTCACAAATTACTACATTTGGATAATTTTCTAAAATATCTGCCAATTAATCTAACTCTTCTTAATCGTAAACCCTAGTCTTTATTTATCTATATACTTTCCATTTGGATTTTAAGGAGAATTTAATATAATCATTTTTGTTTTATCATTTAAATGATATTTTAAACTATCCAAATCAATCTTCCAAATATCCTCTTTATCCTATCTAAATATCCCATTCTCAAATTTCCTTAACATCTCTTCCTTATTATTCCATTTTCCTATTTTCAATGCTATCCCAATCTATTTCGCTCCTTAAAACTCTATCATTGGTTTATATACATCTATATATTATTTAACTACTATAGTACCAAAAGATGGATCAAAGCAAATCACTTCATCTCCTTTATTTAAAATTGCTTAAAATACAGATACTAATATAGTCTAAGCACCTGCTCCAATACTAATCTCTTTCTCAGAATCGATACTTATTCCTATATGTTTACTAAAGAATTCAGCCCCTGATTTTAATAATCTTGGTAAACCCGATGTAGAAGTATACTGTAATGACTCAACCAATGCTTCCTCAGAAATTGCCTATCTTAAAAATTAAGGTGATGGATAATTCGGAAATCCTTGTCCTAAATTCACACATTCTTTTTGAATTGCAAGTTAAGTAAATTAAGTGTAGATTTAAGGACCTAGATATGGTTTTAGCCTATCAGATATTATTGAATTTTGCATATTATTTAATCATTATAAAATGGCCATCAATATAATTTACAATAAAATCTCACATTCAAACTTTTAATTCATTAATTTAGTATTTTATTATTTATAATATTATTTTTTATAATAAAATTTATAATAATTATTATACCAATTCTCAAAATACAACTTTTTAAAGGTTTCTTAACAATTATTTAAAGCCATTTCCTAAAATTCCTTATCAAATTCAGTTTCCATTTATATGTTATAGAAGATAATTTACATTTATATTATTTGCTAAAAACGGCATTTTTCATTTAAAATCTTTTAGTCTCTTTTGAATCACTTCTCTAAAATAGTGATATTTAGTTTTTAAATTTTAAATCTTAGATTACAAATTTGAATTATTTTACAAATAAATGTTTTTAATAATGAATAAATTATACAAAAAGGCTAATAAAAATAATATAAAAAGGCTAATAAAAATAATATAAAAAGTCTTAAGTTACTCTTTTGGTATTTATTAAACAACTCATAATAGTATCAAGAATATTTATATTTTTCTACTTCTAACCTGAGTTTTTATTCTTTCTCATGGTCTATTTCTTCTTCTTATTTAGGATCTTCTTATGGTTTAATGGATTTTAAGAATTCAAGTCTATCTAAAAGTTTTTTAATCAATTCATTAATTCCTTGGAGACTAATAAATCTAAATATAACAATTACTTTGTAAAAGTAGTGTTAGTAAAAATATGTATTCCTAAATAGACCTGATTAAGATCTAATTAATCAATCCAGAAATTGGTTTTTTCAATAGCTTATGTGATCATTTCTTCAGTCTCTTATTTTTCATTTACATAGACTCTCAGAACTGTGAATAGCTCATCAATAGTCATTTCTCCTATACATTCAATGGTTACTTTAAGGATAAAATTTAATAAGTCTTTTAAATTTTAATATTCTAGGATAAATTGTATAATTACCTTCAATTTAACTAAAACCCCAAATAATTTAAGAGACACTCCATCCATCTAATTCCTAAAGTTCTTCTTCAGTTGAATTCAGAATATAGATTTCCATTAAATCAACTAAATCTGAAGAGATAGGTATATTTCGTATATATGCATTCATAACTAATGCAATATCTCTATTTTTAACATCTCCTTCTTCAAAATATAAAATTAAATGTTTTTCAATTAATTCATATAAATCGATGTATTTAGATTATTGCTTTAATTTATTGGTTAATCTCTTGAAGTAATCGCTTGTCATCCAAACAATTGAAGTCAACTATTTAACAGATAGTTTAGGCACTCTTTCTTTACATGCATCAGCTATCTTTTCCATCCATCTAGAATTATGTTATTTTTAAACTAAAGCCCAAAGTAATTCTGTGATATCATCAGTTGTATAAATAGCTTAGATTAATTGTTATTCTAAAGAATCAATAAATTCAGATGTTCCTTAATTATTTTCAATAAATAGAACAGAAATTTATACGATATCGGCAGGATTGCAATCAAATAGTCTTTATTTGAGAATTCTTTCAGCATATTTAAACATAGTATAGTTCTTTTAATTAGCTGCTATAATTAACAATTGCTCAATTTCATTTAATTAAAACTCATCTATTAATAATGCAACCCTATCTTCAATTAAACGATATAATACTTCAGATCCTAATTAAGTTCGTACATATGTATAATAAACTTAGAGTAATTATTTTTTATTTAAGAATTTATGCATCTTATATAAATGAAGCATGATAGCATTAAGTATTTCTTATCTATCTTCAATAGGTTCATTGCCTAAACCATAATATCTAAGATAATTAAGGACTGAATCAGTCTGAGTTTGAGGTAATGCATCTATGATCTATTTTTTAATGGAATAAAAGAAATTATTATTATCTGGTTAAAATTTACGATAAATTTAAAGTGCTTTGATAGTTACTTTATGATTATTTCTTTATACTTCCTCTAAAATGATATTTTCAAATAGTTTAAAGATTGGTTTAAGGTATTCTATGTTGGTTTCATTGATTGATTCAAAAATTAAAAGTAAATCTTCTGCTTAAATTTATGATTATGTATTGAGTAAATGTTAATAAGTAGCAAACCATAAATTTTCATCTCCTAATTAATGTTTGAAGCAGAAATTTAATAGCAAGGCTAATTCTCTAATATTTTAAAATTAGTATAAATTTTCTTTGGAACTTTTAATAATTTCTTAAAACTATGGAGATTATATTAGATCATGATTATCATAAACATAACTGACTTATCCTAAGAGTTTGACTAATCCTTTAGTATTAAAAGTAATATCAAATAAATAATTCTTTTAGAATTTTTCAATTTCTTGCATAGCCTCTAATTTCATTTTCTTTAATTAATCTGGTTATACATTCTCTCCTTTTCTGGGATTGAAAATTTTAGGATTGGTTTTATAGTGTTAAAATTATTCATTAATATGGTTGTGTCTTAGATTGAGGGCATCTTATGAGATTTTAGAGAAATATTTTCTAATTTAATTTAGTATCATTTTTAATAAATATGTTCAAACCATCTGGGTTTTACGCTAGCCTTTAAATTAAAGGGACTCTGTTTTTATGGACTAAAGGGAGCCTGTAAATCAACTTAAGAACATGATACTGCTTTATGTCTCTTAATTTAACTAGGAGTTTCTCTAGGTCTGAGATTTGTATATGTTTTGAAATGGAACCAATTAGAGACTAATATACTTTTAGTTCTAGATTTAGTTTATGTAGAATAAAAGTTCTATTGAGATTAAGATTGCTAAGTATCCATTTCAGGGTTACGAACATAAGCCATATTGTATGGTGATACTATATTTGGTTCATTTTTACTCCTATTACTATTTTTTTGTTTTATCTTAGAGTCTTTATATTTAATGCTTGAGTGTATAAATTTAATTTAAAGTTCCGTAAGATAATTGATTTCAGATATTTATAGATTTCCTCTTTGATATGCTTCGAGTGTTTTTATTAATCCTTCACTAAACCAAAGTGGATAATTATTTAAAATTGGAATTGTTATTGGTTATACATCAACAGTTAATAATCCTTTACATTTTAGTATTTAATTCATATTGTAAAATACTTACTTTTCTATTGTGAAATCAGCAAAATCTTCTAAGAGATTTTCATTTAACAATTGAGAACATATTCTTTAAATACATTTATTATAATGTTGACTAGGATCTCTTGAAGGAGGTCCTAAAAATAAAGTCTGATCAGTTTCTTTTATTTAGGGGATTTCAGATGATTCACTTTGATTGAAATAGTTTAAGATTTCTAATATTTATGGATGTAATGGAATTGAATCATAATCAGCTTCCACTTTAATTTATAGACTATTGAATTTATCGAGAAGCATGTTATATGCTGCTGCCTACTTTGAAGGTATTTACCAATACACATCATAATAGGCTTATGTTTCTATTGCTGCACACTGGAGAGATTTAATTTATTAATCAGACATAATAATAATGTCTAACAAAAAACTATTGAGTAGTGAGAAGAAAGATAGCATCATAGCTTAATTGAAAGGGGAATTATATCACTATCATTAGAGACAAATAGATTTTGGAAGTTTACACAATTAGCTATCTAAACTTGAAAATGCCTATTCCTTAAGTTAAGAAGAATTACAGAAGATATAGAAGATTGGA